TTTTCTCGCACGCCTTGAGGCAGACTGGCGAGAGCGCATGGTCTAGAACGGACCACAGAACAAGCACCCCGCTTTGGTAATGAAGCCAGAACTGACAAATGGGCATTCTCCAAGCGTGAGATACCCTGGCCCCGATTGGCACCATACTGTTTTGATGGCGTCTACTTCCTGGGTTATGAACTGGTCGAGAAGTTGGCCATCGCTTTGCATTTAACTTGCCCTATCCCTGTTGATGACGTCTGGTTGGTCCCGGTGATGACAAAGTTGGGTGTGCGCTTCCAGTACCGACGTGGCATTCGTTTAGTCGGAGCAGCCATTGCCACTACGAAGCGAGACATTATAATGCCGATGTAGGCTATGTATAAAGACTAAGTGTATGAACAAGCTGACACTGTTTTAGCTAGCAACACCAAAAAAACGGTGATATGTAATATTTTTGGTATTCTGAAATAGCCTTTACCTTCATTATCATGTGGTCGCGTTTTACTATAGAAATGTAGCACATTATATAAGATCATTGTTCGTACAAATAAAAACCTTATCCCTTACATGTGATGTATTGTATGCCTGCATGGTCGCTTCGAACTTCCATCTGTCCCTTTTGATATTCTGCGTTAGTAAAGTGAGAGAAATGACGTTCCAGCCACATAATATATACTGTCAGTGCTATTGTGATTTCGCGTATTAATTGTATGTACACAGCTAATTGTAAGATGAAAATGAAGATTTGCGTATGTTCTTTTTCGAGCCTGAGAACACGCGGGGTGTGCTAATGGTTGCAAGATACAGCCAGCCAATCACAAATCAGCACTAGGGAACACGATATACATACAACCCGGAGCCGGAAAACTGCATCCGCCCAATAAGGAATTTAAGAAGCTACAAAAGGAGTAAAAATAGGAGACCACGAATAATGTAGGGGTTGGCTTCTCTTTATACTGAGCAGAGGCTTGATTGCCAAACTAACTTGACGTGTCCGTCGGTATATAGCACAGGGGATTGTGTTTGGGAATTTTAAAGCATAAGCGTGTCACGCTTGTATTGACTACGTTGCTGTAGACATGTCTGTTTCAGTGAACGAGAAACATGTGAACCGAGAGGAGCATTGGTGTGCCGTCTAAGTAGATGGGTTGATAAATGACAGTTTACCTAATCAGAAATCAAGAAGTAAAGAGTCGAGTCAAGTGACGTTTAATAAGTGGAATATAGACAACAGCCCTTGAACTCCGTATTGGTGCACGGCAGTTAACAAATGCATGGGCACAGCTGCACATTTCAAAAGTTGTTGACATAACTGTGAACAACTTATCCCTTGTTTCAAGTAATAAAATCGCATGTGGTGAAGTCAGTTTAAACGAGCCAGCAGGTGTAAATAAGCAAAAAGGGCAGCCAGTAGAACAAACCCCTAAGGCATGACTCAGAATTCAAAAATGAAATATCATTTTCGTTTTTTTTTAGAAGAAAAACTGTCAGTCATAGGACACTTATATGCTGCTGTGAATGTTAGCGGCAAGCTAGGAGGCCATCCGCGTAATATTTTTGCCGGAAGGGTCACATGAGAGGATACGAGAACATCCCCAAGAACCAGAGTCGCAACCACGATGCGCTCTTTCTATGACAAAAGCAGAGGAACCCACCACGATCGTCAGTATCCGGTGTTTAGGTCGATATGAAGCAGAAACCGCAGAAAACGACCTTGGACTATCGTTGCAGTAGAGGGGAGTGCACACGCGATCATTGCAGTTCACATAGTGCGTAGGGGGCAGCGCGAAAGTATTTGCTATGCAAGGTTAAAAATACTTCGATTAAATAATAATACTTTAAAAAAGCTCTTGCTATATTTATAGCATTTACATTTTTGGTTTCAGAGAGCTCCGCGTGCCTTCGGCTGATGCGCTAGGAGGTAAGGCTGTGCTGGTAAAGCTTCGTATTAACGATGGACACGGATGCAGAGATGAAAATGTCCGCATGAAGGGCTATCCATGCCTTAATTACTGGCTAAGAGAAAAAAATATTTGTTTTGGGTCAAGTCTTGCCCCAGGCCCACGTACTTTAAAATGGTACTCTCGCAGTCTTGTTGTATTAGCCAGCTGAAAAATGTCATTGAGTTTGGGATAAACACCCTTACCCCGCAGCATGCGAAATGCCTGTATAAGGCCATCACGCAGCGGTCTGTCATCCGAAGAAAGAAACCGAGAGTGGACAAACGTGTCTCGTAAGACATGTACCACTGTCCTCTTACTTATCTTGTTGCGCGCCATTGGAACCTTACAGGGGTGTTTGGCCTTTCATTGTCCAAGGTCTGCAGTATTGCATGGCAAATGCTTATTGGGGTCGCACGAACATGTAAAAGACCTGACCAAAGCAAACTTCATCCAACACAGCAAATGCGCGCTTGATTAGATGGAAGCTGGACATTGTGTATTTTGCCACCTCTACGCATTTGAATGATGCCTTGACTGATGGCGTGATCCACACTCCCTGATCCTTCTCAGAGTCTACCTCTGGCAACGGTGTGTGATTTGGTTACTACACCATTCGGTGCGCAGTTCTGGATTTGCCGAAGCGCATTTAATTTCATTTCGCTACATTAAATGGCATGACACAGCTTCGTCTATTGTTTAGGTCGATGCAAAGTTGCCTGAAGATAGCATTTATCGTCTTCGTTGCGTATGACCTACCATAATGTTAAGCCATCAGAAAACATAACGATTTCGCAGTGTAATCCGTTTATTCAGTCATCAAAATATATCAGGAGGAGAATTGGACCAAGAACGGAATCTTTGGTTAACTCGGCCCTCGGCCGCTTCCTCCACCGACCGTTGTGCACTAAGACATTCTGTATGAGACCAATCACTCAGGATGTTTTTGATCCACGGCAAAAGATTGCATCTTACCTCTATAGGACTGAGCTTGTATGAAAGACGTAGACTTGGACAGTGCAAAGGCCTTCTTGAAGTCTTCGAATACTGTATGTACCGTATTCCCTTCATCGAGGAGGAGCTTCCTTTGCGAAATATGTGCTGCTAATCAGAAAGAAGTGAATGTTGTCCCAAAAGGCATCATCTCGCGTTTACATATTCGCTTCATGAGCTTGCAAAATATTGAAGCGAGGCTGACCAGTCTGCAGTTATTTGCGGATGCCGGACTCCCAATTTTGTGGATTTGTGAGATAGACGCTGGCTTCTAATGGGATGGTCATCATAGCTGCGCGTAAGCAGCAGTATAACAAAAGGAATCACTACTATTTTACGCGTGGTAAGATGGTAATTTAGATCCCATTTAGAACGAACTCTCTTATAAAATAATAGTCTGGGCAGTAAAAACTCCTACATCGGTGGCTAAGTTCATCGAGCCACCGATTTCCCAAAAAATGTAGGAGAAAAAAACGCCTTAATAGGTAGAATGTTATGACATGATGCAGTCAGATGGAATCCTGCTGTTGAGGGTTCAAGACGCTTATTGTCATAGGAAAAATAATATAGCATTGAGCTAGGAATGGGTGATCCGGAACAACAGGAGATGACAGTAGAAGTCGAGGCAGCATTACCGAGATGCGACGCACCAGACTCCAGAGTCCATTTACAAGTTTGCGACTACGTAAGAACACGAGTTAACCATTAATAACGACATCGAAGACCACCGCCAAAGTTCCATAACGGAGAACAGTTTTCTAGCATTTGGAAGTTATACTTGACTCTGCAGATGAAAATGTTAGGAAACACTTTAACATCCTGGGAAGAGCTTCAAATGCCAGAAGAACCCTTTTCGTATTTGGAAAGGAAACAGATACCAACGAATTTATGTCCTCCAACTTTAAATGCTTACGTAATTTGCCTTTGGAAATCGACAACGTAGAAGACAATCTGATTTCGAGTTGAAGATTGTTTAAACTAAAAGCATATTTGGGGTAAAAAAGCGAGAATGGTTAGATGTGGAGCTAAGGGGTGGTGAGATTGTCATGGAAGAGTTAGTAGTGGTGTTAATTCGGCCCACTGGAATAAGAGCAATTATCTGTGGAAGATAGGAATTTTGTGAACTTCAAACAGAAAGCAAATATCAGTTTCGAGTTTTCGTACTTAAGAGATTTTTATGTTTGCTAATTGACCTCTCTCTGTATAAGAAATAGTAGACCCAGAAAGATGAAATATTATACGAGTGAAAACTCGCTGAACCATTTTAATCTTACTGCGGTCAGTCGCGTTCATAAGACCAAAAATTGCAAAGCAGTATTCTAGGCTAGGGAGATCCAACATGCTGCATAGTTTTGACTTTATTTTTGAGAGGAAAGATTATGCGATATAAACCAACATATTTGTGCGGCCTTGGCAGAACTTCGATCTGCATGAGGCGATAATTCAAGCTTATTCGTGTTAGTTAGACCAAAATCCTTTTTCGTAGATCGTTCTAACAGTAGACGTTTTTGGATGATAATTGATCCAGAAAGCTTACCTGGACCATAGCACATGAAAATACATTTGCATGGAGAAAACTCCATCTGCTATGTGGCGCTCCAAAGTGAGAGGGTACGCGAATCTGCGTTGTCTTTATCCACGCAACTACTGGCCGTGTCCTTATAACATGAGTAAATGCACATAAGGTCATCAGCGTAAATGAAATGTTTCGTGTTATTTAGCACTGCTGACATTTAATTTATGTAAAGAACAAAAAGAAGGGAACCTAAAGCCATGCCTTGAAAAACGCCACTCGTAATCGGCTGCGGCATCGAAAAACTATTGCCTACAAAAACCAACTGGCTGCGGTTAGACAGGTAAGAAGTATTTAAATCGATGAGAGGAGCCTGGATGCCTAGGGCTTCTAGTTCCCCTACAAGAAGCCTGTGCGGCATCTTGTCAAAAGCTTTGCTAAGGTCAAAGTAAATCACAATGACTGATTGCTGCGCTCATAACGAAATAAGGTAATGAGGTTAAAAAATGCCATGATCTTCGAGGCACTTAATATTGTATTTTCTTTATTTATTTTAGTTTATTTTATTTATTTATTTATTATGTTAAATATGCTTTGCTCAAACCGCTGTTTTGTGAACGCCCCGATAACTTTTAACATCCTAACGAGATCCTGACTTGAAGACTGAAAGACGAATAGTTGTTCATTATGAATAAGGAAAGAAAGCGTTTAGAATATAAGCCGATAATATATGACTTAGCAATTGGGGGTAGCTCAACACTCTCTTGATTAGAGATTTTGGAATACTGTCAGTTCCCGAGGAGTGCGAGTTTTTAGACGACTAATGTAATTACGAATTACGTCTACGGATAATTCAATGGTACAGATATTATTGACCAAGCAGGGCTGAATTGACGGGCCGGTTCAGATTCCGTCGTAAGATGCTT